ATGAAGACCACAACTCCCATGATTCCACACTCATCAAACTACGCCTTTGTCTATTTGTTTATTTTGAATACGCGCCCTCTAACGGCGAAAATTACATATTGTGCCTTTAATGTAAAAACTAAAATGAATTGTAAAACTGAAAGTTATTTTTTAAATTGTGTTCAGCATGGTGGGCCGCATTTGAATTCGTGACGGGCCATGGGTTGAGAACCACTGCTGTAGAAAAAGAAACACAAATGAGATCAGTTGTTTCTCCTAGACGGCATTGAGATTCAAGTGTAGTCGACATAAAATTGTGTTCGTCTGGGTGGAGTCCGAGACTGAGAGTGTCATTTCTTGTCCATCCGGCTCACATTTCCGAACCCGTTTGGTCTTTTTTTAGAGCAAAAAGCTTTTCGAATGAAATGTGGGTCAGGGTTAATGGGAGATCAGATGAGGACGGACTGTAAATGTACTCGTCAAAGTCGTACCTGTTAGAACGCCGGTTCACCTCTACAAAATCACGTCCCAGAGGAACATTTAATCACTCAGAGGACTTTCATCACTTCATCTCGAACGTGTGTTTCTCCTCAGTGTTGGCCACCCTTCCTGCGCTGGCGGTGGTGCAGTCTAAACCCTTTCCGGCGGGGCCGCTCATGAACGGGCTGGAGATGGCCGAGCAGCGCACGTGGCTTTACCTGGAAGAGATGGCCAATACGCTGCTCAACAACGTCCAGCAACTCAAAGTCCTCATCGCACAGGCCAAACAAGCCAGTCAGAGCGGAGCGCATGCCGAAATCAGCCCCGAGAAAAACAGCAGCGTCAGGAAAGAGGTGATACAAACACTGAAGTCTTTATTCAAACAATTACAACCACAAAACAGGTCAGTGTTAAAGACCCCTGTGGTCAGTGTTGGGGAAGATTACTTTTAAAAGTAATGCATTACAGTATTGCGCTACTCCCTAAAAAAGTAACTAATTGCATTACTTAGAAAGTAATGTGTTACGTTACTTTTGCGTTACTTTTTCTCATCTGGGCTGGGCTTGCTTGTTTTTAATATAAAAAGTTATATTTTTGGCAAATGTAAAAGCCCTTCCACACCAAAAGTGAAATAAGCCTCAGCCATTCTGGATTGCATGAAGCATAGGAAGCAGGAGAAGTAAGTTCAACACTCTTCAGCAATAAAATAACCTTCACAAATGTCATTTTTATCTCAAGTCATTTTTGCTTATTAATATGGTTGAATTGGATCACTGAAGGTCAGCAGCAAAGACACTAGTTAATAAAATGGGATTAAATACATAAAGGATATTTGTGTTATTTAATATATTTGATTATTGCAGGTTTGCATTCCACTGTTTTTATTCATCTTGAGGAACACTGAATCTGTTTTTCGTGCAAGTGAGATTAGATAAGATAAGCATATAAGATAAATGCATGTTCACATTTAGTCTAGAACTACAGTAAGCATCATGTTCACACAGCGCCTCTGCACTTACTCCCAATTTCTCTCAGTTCTCTCAGAGTACAGAAGAGCTGTCAGTCAGTGAATGGGACAACAAAGTAACTGGCGTCACTTATTTGAAAAAGTAACTCAGATGTTTTCTTGTAAAATAAAAAGTAATACGTTACTTTACTAGTTACTTTGAAAAGTAATCTGATTACGTAACTTGTGTTACTTGTAATGCATTACCCCCGGCACGGCCTGTGGTGAAAATCAAGTTTTTAATGTTGTTTATCTGGTGTTTTTAATATGCTTAAAGACAAAACAATTAAAGATGAATAAAATTTTGCCACTATCCATTATGTAGCCTTTACTACTTCAGTTAACCGAGGGAAAGTGAAGGAAGTAGTTGAGCTGGTGTGATTGAGTGGAGGTGGGGACTAATTTGCATATTCATAGAGCCGCATATACTGAAATGAGGTAGGGGGTGTAGAGTTATATTTAAGCCATTTTAAGGCATTAAGAAAATATTTTCACAGAAAAAAAATTAAATGTGTCAATTTGATAATCAAAGTTGAGTTTTAAAGGATACAATAGTGACTGCACGAGGACTTTAATTAAGTCATTTCATGAAATAAAATAGTATAACAAACTCCAATCTTCCCTACACTAAAAAGAGCATTTATTAAAACTAACCTGCAAAAACTGGCTGAAAAATTTCTGATTGTGATGGCATAAACATGAATAAATATGCAAATTGGTTGGGTGTTTAGATGTACACATTGCAGTAGCAAAAGTGTCACAAAAGTGTGAAAAATTATCCTAAGTACTAAATTATGACTGTTTTTGGTCTAAGCAACCTTTACAGACAGTAAGTTAATGCACTAATGTTATGTTTAACAGAAAAAAAAGTCTTTTAAGTCAAAGGATATTAAATAAAAATTCACCAAATAAACCTTCTAAATACATTTTCCTGTTCTTATTATGGACGATTCATCAGTAGATGTTAGTTCAATAAAATAATTATTACAACTTTGAAACAACTTTCCTTCCTGCTGATGTCATCAAGGCCACTTAAGTTTTAACCAATCGGTGTCGTCGATGTTCCAGTATGTGGAGTCGTCCGCCATAACTGAATGCAAAAAGCTAAATTATGACTGTTTTGGGTCTGAGAAACCTTTACAGACATTATAAGTGGACTAGAAGGGAAAAGTGTATTTTATGACCCCTATAAGAAGCATCATCTATTCATGTTTTTCTCTCGCAGTCCTTTCAGAGTCAGTTGTCACTCAGTGAAGAACCTGAGGGGAAAATCACTGAAATTATCATTAAGGTAAATCTCTCTCACTCTCTCTGTTATCATATCAGTGTTATTTTGTTATCATTAATATACTATTTTCGTTAATCTAATCAAGTAATATTAGTTTAACTGTAGCCTTAGCAACAGATATGCAAGTACATTGAATGCTTTACCACAGGACTGACCGTGGCTCATAAGCTTTAATGGAGCAGAGCTTTGAGTTTTATAATGAGGCTCATGTGGCGCTCTGCTGATGTAGTTGGCGTTCTCAGATGTGTGTGTCGTGATGGGACCGGACGGCCGGCCGGCGGTGTAGAAACACTGACCGTCACACACCATCACCCGCTGTGTTTGGCAGGTGCTTCGGTTCAGATGTGACAAGAGAGAGTGAAGCAGGACTATCAGAATCTGCAGCTGAAAACACACAGATGCTCCACAGGAAAACGCCAATAGATCCCGGAGTCTTTGCTTGTTTAAAATGCTAGTGAAAATTTTACATTCTGGCATTATTTACTCATTGTTTAAAGCTATTTTTTTTTTACTTGAAAACAAAAAGGATATTTTGTATAACATTGAGGCTGCTCTTGAATCACTTGGATGGAGATATGTGCTTTGATATTTATAATGTTTTGACTGATATTCATAATATTTTTGACAACATTATTTTTTACATAAATAGTTCTTACAACATTTAAGGTCTAAATATTATTCGTTAATATTAAAGGTGCAGTAAGCGATTTCTGAAAATCATCAAAACACGCCCCTACCCAAAAGGATCACACCCCTCTCTTGATAGCCCCGCCCCCAAATTCATGAACGTGCTATTCAACAAAGGCAACTCCCCCATCATGTGTGGACACGCCCCTTACTGGTGATTGGCTAAAAGTATGTTTTGGTGCTAAGTCCGATCAACTTTCAACAGCGTTTCTCAGAAAACACCTACTGCACCTTTTATTATTTTATTAATATTATTATTGATTATTTACACAACAATATTAATAATATTATATAATAAAATTAGACATTACCAGTCAAGAGTTTGGAGTAATTAAGTTTTTTTTGATAATGTTTTTGAAGGAAGTCTGCAAAGCTTTTTTTTGTTTTTGTAATTTTTAGAGCTTGACTGTTTTTGTTTCGTGTTCAAAAGAAGACAAAAATCAGAACAATCAGAACTGAATCAAGAATGCTTTTTAAATTCCAATTTGAATGGAATTTTTGCAATCATTATTTGAATGCAAGGAAGTAGAACTCATGACAATTTTTTTACTGTGAACGTTGAAACTTTGAATGTTGACCTTTTTATGTTTGAATGTTGAATTTGTTTTATTTTTAAATTGAAGACATAAAGTTCAGAAAATTCATAGGACAGAGAAAAAGATTAAAATTTTAAAAAATCAAGTTGAATTTCACACAAAACATTTTTTTTAAAAGCTGAAATTGCTCAACTTATTTTTTCAATATCATTTTTTACAGTGTAGATAGAGAGATTAACTGTTCTCTTAATAGTATTAATAGTTGTATGTTCTCTTCTGTGTTTCCAGCACACATGTGTGAACTGCGGTCGAGAGGCGTCCAGTGAGTGTACAGGCTGCCATAAAGTCCATTACTGCTCTGGCTTCTGTCAGCGGAAGGTAAGTCCAACCCCAGCATTCACCATCATATTAAAGTGGTTAGAGCCTCTTTATTTTTGGAATCCGTCTTTCTGCAGGACTGGAAGGAACATCAGCTGAGCTGCTGTCTGCCGGGCACGACCGTCGACATTCAGGAGGACACTCAGATGGCCGGTGTGGAGAAAGGGAAAGCCTAGCGTTCTCACTGCAGGACCGTCAGTGACGTATGAAGTTTAGATGGGTGATCGCTTCCGTTCATGTGTTTTAGTTTAGCTATAAAGCCTCATAGTAACAGCTCCCTTACACACTGTGAAATATAAAGCATACATGGATGACGTCTGTACTTTCTGTACCATTTGAACGGTTTCACCATCTCACTATGGGTTTTGTATGTGAAAATAATCCTTAAAGGGAAAGTTCACCAAAAATCATTTCCACCCTCATGTTTTTCCAAGCCTGTATGACTTTTGGAACACAATGTGTTGTGTCCGAGCTCATAATTTCCATAAAATTAAGACATAAAATTACCCGTTTTTAAGCTCTTAAATGGAAAAAAAAAAAAACGTAATCCACTTGAGCTGAAATTTAAGATATTCACTGTGTTGTAGCTCTCAAATCTATGAAAGCTTGTTTCCGCCATGGGAAATAAAATAAAACAGGGAATTGTGACTTTTTATCTCACAATTCTGAGGAAAAATTCAGAACTGTGAGATATAAACTTGCAATTGCAAGAAAAAAAAAATCAAAACAAAAGTCACAATTACCTTTCCTATTTTTAATTCCATGGCGGAAAAAAACAAACAAAAACAAATTGTGAGATGGAAAATCAGAATTGTGAGAGAAAAGGGCAGAATTCTGAAAACTGCAATTCTGACTTTTTTTTCTTGAAATTATGGGTTTGATATGTAATTTTAAAAAATGTAATTGCGACTTTTAATCTCACATTTCTGACTTTTTTCTTGCAATTCTGAGTTTATATCACAATTCTGAGAAAAATCCAGAATTTCCAAAAATCCAAATTGTGAGAAATAAACTCAGAATTGCAAGAAAAAAGTCAGAAATGTGAGATTAAAAGTCGCAATTACATTTTTTATTTTTTATTACATGGTGGAAACAAAAAAACTGAATTGAGAGATGTGAAGTCAGAATTGTGAGAAAAAAGTTTATATCTCACAATTCTGACTTTTTTCTCAGAATTGCACGTTTCTAAAAAAAGTCTGAATTTGAGATGAAAAAGTCACAATTACCTTTTTAATTTTTTTAGCCAATGGTGGAAACAAGCTTCCATATAAATCTCAATCATGCATAGTTTTTTTTTTTTTTTAATTCTACATTAAAATGTGATGCTTTGTGCATATATTATAAATTGAACGCAGAATGGAAAATTCTTATGATACTTTTATTGTGTGTTTTTTGAGCTAGTCAACACTAGTTTCATTGTATGAAGCATTATTTTGTGTCCTACAGGAAAAAGCCAGTCAAACAGGTTTGGAACACCATGAAGTTGAGTAAATGATGACAGAAGTGTTTTTTTTAGGTGAATTATTCCTTTAATTGGACAATAATATAATTTCAGAAACTAATTCTAATGAAGGATTGCATTATACATTATTATACATTTATAGAGTTTTCAAAACAAAAATAAATGGGAAAATCTGAGTTTTTTCATGCCTCTTTATTCAACGGATTTTGGATTTGATGCCACATACACACGTAAAGTGCATTATCATGATAACCTTTTATAATGGATATGACACATTGTAGAGATTAGCTCGGTGAACCGCCACACAGCTGACCTGTGCGAAGTAATCCAGACCTAAAGCTACGTGAACACTAACCTGAACTCGCATTAGTCAAAGGAAAGAAACCTCACCAGATTTTACATTCAAAATTCCCTGACGTTAACCTAAACAAGTCATATTGTACATTATTTGGAGAATTTTCTGCATAATCCACTCAAGGGTTTTTGCATTCAAAACAGTCATAATTTCGCTTTTCATGACCGTTTTCCACTCCATTTCTGACCCCTAGAACTGAGCAGGCCATTTTGCTAATGTAGTTGAATGACCTCTATATGTAAATGAACTTTGCAAGTGAAATGAGTATTTATAGGCCAACATCAGCCGCTAAAACAAAACTGGGTAACACTTTATTTTAGGGTCTCTTAACTAGTTGCTTATTAGCATGCATATTACTAGAATATTAGCCATTTATTAGTTCAAATTAAGCACATATATTAATGCCTTATTCTACATCCCTAATCCTACCCAATACCTAAATTTAACAACTACCTTACTAACTATTAATAAGCAGCAAATTAGGAATTTATTGAGGGAAAAGTCATAGTTAATAGTGAATAAGTGTTCCCTATTCTAAAGTGTTACCCAAAACTGCTTTACATTGTGACATTTTCATGAAACAGTTGATGAACAAACTGTTAAAAACAGACTAATATGATCAGACAACTTGTTAAAAATAAACTTTAGTCACTCGATCAGCGACAATATTTATCCAACTTCCTTTTTATCCACTCAACGTCACTGGGTTGTTGAGAAATGTCGGTGGTCATGTGTTAGTTTTGTTATTTAATCGACATCATAAAGCTATTTTTGTAGCTCATTTTAAATAAATGGGAGGATGTTTTGAGTTCTGAAAGTTACAGTATGTTTTCCTTCTGCAATGAACTTTTACTTCCTTCGACTGACGTCTTGTAAGGCGACCCATTTAAAGTGTCTGATTCTGATCCGTGGCACTGAAAGTGTTCAGACACTTTTATTACTTGAGCAATTTTTGAGTGAGTTTCTTTAGAGGTTTCTAGCTCAATTTCGGGGGATATCTGAATACAATACACAGCCTCAACTTCAGATTTCCCATGAGCACCCTTGGCTGATAGTTTGCCGCAGGATGGTGTTTTTATTACCTCCCTTTTGTACTTCAGTGTCCAAATGTGAATCGATACACGGGGATAGAAAATTGTTGGGGGAATTATGGGAAGGGCGCTCAAGCCAAAGAGCCGGTCAGTGGCGCCAGAATCATCTAAAGAGACACATCCGAAACAAACGGCAGTGGTTTTCCATTATGCAAGTCAGTGAAGCAAAGATACTACACAAAACAAATAGTTTTATGGCACATACAGTATACTGTTGTTTGAAAGCTGATACTGTATAGCACCATTCTGAGAGTGTGTGTACACACACACACACACACATACATATATATATCTATATACAATTGGTTTAAACTTTGTGAAAATAAAATACTGCAATCATAAACATTAGATGGAATTAGATTTTTCGTGTCGACTGAAACATAGCAGGTAATTCTTAGGGATGTTGTGTCTGGAAAAACACAGGTTTTTGGACATTTGGACAACAATCATCTTCAGGCAAATGTCCGAAAAGGTTTTGGGCAAGGTTTTCTCAAAGTTATGAACAAACATTATTCCAGCAACGTTGAACGTTCTTTCAAAGTTGTCAGGTCTTTAAAGGAATAGTTCACTTCCAGAATAAAAATTTCCTGATAATTTACTCACCCCCATGTCATCCAAGATGTTCATGTCTTTCATTCTTCTGTCGCAAAGAAATTAAGGTTTTAGAGGAAAACATTCCAGGATTTTTCTCCATAAAATAGACTTCAATTGCAGTTTCAGTGCAGCTTCAAAGGGCTCTACACAATCCCAGCCGAGGAATAAGGGTCTTATCTAGCTAAATGATCTGTCATTTTCTAAAAAAATTTAACTTTATGTACTTTTTAACCACAAATGCACATAGCAAATTCAAGCATGAGATAATCACGTTGGAAAGGTCATGCGCGGTTAGCGCTTCATTAAAAAATGTAGGGTAGTAAAAATCTAATTTTCTCCTCCAACTTCAAAATCGTCCGACATCGTTGTTTTATCTTTTTTTGTAAAGGGCGTTTGACTTTCTTTGCACGCTCGCTTTGTAAACACTGGGTCGGTACTTCCGCCTACGTCACTCGTGACCTTTCCAACGTCATTACGTAATGCATGAAGTCACGAGAGCATTTGTGGTTAAAAAGTATATAAGTTTTAATACAAGTAAGAAAATGACCGATCGTTTCGCTAGATAAGACCCTTATTCCTCGGCTGGGATCGTGTAGAGCCCTTTGAAGCTGCACTGAAACTGTAATTTGGACCTTCACCCCATTGATCCCATTGAAGTCCATTATATGGAGAAAAATCCATGAACAAAACCTTAATTTCTTTGCGACTGAAGACAGAAAGACATGAACACTTAAATCTTACTTTAATAAGGTTGTTGAAACATTAGCACAAAAACATTTGCACAAGATTTTTCTAAAATATTTTAGTTGAATGTTCATCTAATTTTATTTTTAATTGATTTCTTTAAAAATTAAAATTAGAAATTCAGAACTTAACTGGAACATATTTTGTTAGATATCTCTGTCCTTCTGACTTGCAATTTTCTATAAGTTTGAGGCCTGATTTAAAGGGGTCATAGGATGCTACATGCACTTTTACAAGTTGTTTGAACAAAATGGCCGCCGTCGCCTAAAAGTTTTCTATTGTAATGTAACCAGATAATCACAGTAATAGTAATAATTCTGCTTCTGTGGTAATGGACAAACGCTGTCGGTAGAGTTTAACCTGTATTGAAGTCCTGAATAAAGGCTCTCCGTGCTTCAGGGAAAGATTCTCCAGGGTTGTCTTGTCAAATCTTTTTCAGTCATTCTCTCAGTCTTTCTTTCTATCTGTCTCTCATCATTTCTTGATATGTGTTCTCATATTAAGGTCAGATCTGTTATATTTCTCTCTTAAGAACCTGGTATCCAAAACTTCCCTCGTGAGAATTTATGTCTGTCTAGGACAAACTGAACAATAAGGACTTTGCAGGAGTTACTTCATCTTTGAAGGTCTTTTAAATCGCGTATTCTGGACCAGAAGCATCATTTACTTAACCTTATGTTAATTTTTACAGTTTCTTGTTTGAGATTCCGAATAAATTGATATTAATTTAAATTTTAGTCAAAAATAAGATTGTCCTCATTATTCTTGTTTTAGTGTGTTACGGAAAAAGCATATTCACAGCGTGACTTACGCTATATGATTAGCACGTAACGTTCAGTTCAAGTTAGCATGAGTATTTGTGTTATTTATGTTGTGTATATATCTTTTGCCCAAACACTATCGATACTCATTCACCTTTATCTTATTGTAAGTAAACTAGAAAACACCCACTACTTGTGTGTGTATCGATATATTCCACCTGATGTATTTTCTATTCCTTCAGAAAAACGGGCATATACTCTAAAAGCGTTTCCTGTCAGAACCTGTTGAGATTTGACATTTACACTAAAAGCTTTTTCTTTTCTTTTTTCCCCCTGACATTTCTATGTTAGTAATGAGGGCTTTATTAGGGGATCTGCTGAGAAGATGCTGCTGCTTTTTTATGAAAGGTGATTATGGTGTGTTAAGTTTATTTTTGGAAACCTATGGCAGTGACCCTGGAGTGGAACTTATGAGAGGAAGGCCATTCATTTTTCAAGGAAAGAGGTGATTTAACCTGTTCATAGAATAAACTTCAGTAATTTTGAAAGCGTTTAGACTTACGATTTGCATCAAATCAAGAATCTCAGAGGAATGTGGGTGGTGCTCGTTTGAGCTGAGTCAGTAAGCAATCACCTAAAACACCCTAGAAACACGAACAACCACTCAGAACACCTCAGTAACCACATAGAAATGGTCTGGCAACCATTTAGAACACATAAGTAACTGCATAGCAACACCCTGGAAACCACCCAGAACACCCGAAACTGCATTGCAACACACACACAAAAACACTTAGAACACATGATTAACTGCATAGAATCAGAAAAACACTTAGAACACCTAATAAACTTCATAGCAACGCCCAGGCAACCACTCAGAACACTACAGAAACTGCATAGCAACACAAGTAGCCACTTAGATCACCCTAGTAACTGCATAGCAACACAAACAACCACTCAGAACACATAAGTAACTGCATAGCAACACAAACAACCACCCAGAAAACCACAGTAGCTGCATAGCAACACAAACAACCACTCTTAATGGCTAAGTAACTGCATAGCAACGCCCTGGCAACCACCCAGTACACCTCAGAAACTGCAAAGCAACACACAAAAAACACTTAGAACACATAATTAACTGCATAGCAACAGAAAAACAACACCTAATTAACTATAAAGCAACACACACAACAAAAACACTTAGAACACCTAATTAACTGCATAGCAATGCCCAGGCAACCAATCAGAACACCCCAGAAACGGCATAGCAACACAAGCAACCACTTAGATCACCCTAGTAACTGCATAGCAACACAACCACTCAGAACACATAAGTAACTGCATAGCAACGGCCTGGGAGCTACCCAGAACACCCCAGAAACTGTACAGCAACACAAACAACCACTTAGAATGGTACATTACATTAGTAACTGCATAGCAACGCCCAGGCAACCACTCAGAACACGCTATTGTAGTGGCAGAGTTTTGCATAGGCAAAACACTCACATTTTCCTCAGACAGTATTGTTTATATTTATGCATTTGGCAGATGCTTTTATCCAAAGCAAATCAGATTGCATTCAAGGTACACATTTATGTTTGATCAGTTCTTGCTTTCTCTGGGAATCAAATCCATGACCTTGGTGTTGCTAGTGCCATGATCACGGAATGAGCTACAGGAAAGTTTCCTTTTATACTGTTTAAACTTGAAACCAAATCTACGTACGCTTTATCATAGCTTCTGATATATAGTATTGGTTTTTGAAAGTTCCGTTTTTGAGATTTGTTATATGTAGATTCTAGTTTATAGGAAATAAAAATTACAGATCGATCTCTTTAATGTTGTATCGTGTCTCCCAGACAGCAATGATATCAACTGAAGATCATATGGAAACCTGAGTTCTCCTGCTTCTCATATATTTCTCTTGAGAAAAAGTAAGTAATCTCACATTTCTTTTCTAGAGTTTCCAACTGTGCTCCATTTTGCCAATATCTCAAAGTCAAAGATCTCAATATGACCAAAGTCCCATCAAATGATATGAGCTGCTGTTCATGTTTATTTTATAACTCTATACTCTTACTGTACGTCAACTGCTCACTCATTTGTGACTATTTTTGATCTCGGAGAAACATCTGAGACAACATACATGTGTAAAATATTCAACTGAGACCTCCTGAGCTTTGAAGGAGTATCTAGAGGTTCTCTGTTGCTCCATATGCTGCATTTACGCCTATGTTTTAGTCATTCTCAGACTGCTTGATGTCTTTTAGCTGTCTCAGGTGTTGTTTGACAGGTCTCCCGTCTTTTTTGCTTGACGAGAGAGTGGGTGGAATGAACCCGGACAGGCTGCCGCTGCCACTGTGGTTTTCTGAGCATAATAAGTTTCGACATGTCTCATTTTAAAAGCATCAGGAAATACATTCGCCCCCCTGCGCCACAGAAGGACACATCATCTCTGTTTGACCTTGATATCACTCTTAGCTTTACTTTTAAGGAAATTACATTTTAATGTGTTTGGAGCAAAAAAGATACTTCTTTGTATAAAGAATGAGGGAGGAAACATTAGACAGATGACAGAAGAGGTTGATGACATTTTATCGAAACGAATACCTGCATAGTCATCAGCATGTGGGGAAAAACCCTTGTTATGTGAATCTGACAGACTGTAAATAATTAATAGTGATGGAATATTCTGTTTTAATAATGCACGTCCAGATAATTGCGTACTGTCTTGTTTTCTCTAGGTCATGGGTTCCCGAACTTAATAAAGAAATAGTTTGCCCAATAATGAAAATGTGCTGAAGATGTACTCACCCTCAGGCAATCCAATACGTAGATGAGTTTGTTTTTTCATCAGATTTGGAGAAATGTAGCATTACATCACTTGCTCACCAATGGATGCTCTGCAGTGAATGGGTGCCGTCAGAAAGAGAGTCCAAGCAGCTGATAAAAACATCACAATAATCCACAAGTAATCCACACCACTCCAGTCCAACAATTAACATCTTGTGAAGAGAAAAGTTGTGTGTTTGTAAGAAACAAATCCATCATCAAGGTACTTTAACTATCACTTCTGGCTGAAATACCAGTGTATAATCCATAATAACATCCATAATCCATAAATCTCCCATTGACAAAATCCATCCCCTGTTGTCGCCTCACATCAAAATCCACCAACATATTTGTTTACAGCTATTTTGGACTGTTTTTGCTTGTAAACAGTGCTTGGTCTGTACAGATTTCTCTCCTGATTCAAATGAGAAGGCTTTTTCACTGAAGGAAGCAACATATTATGGATAGAGGACTGGATAGCGGTTTGAAGCTAAAAACATGTTGATGGATTTATTACAAACATGCAGCTTGTAGATTACGTACATTACATGTGGATCATTATGATGTTTTTATCAGCTGTTTGGACTCTCATTCTGACGGTACCCATTCACTGCAGAGGATCCACTGGTGAGCAAATGATGTAATGCTGAATTCTCCAAATCTGTTCAGATGGAGAAACAAATTTTGGAATCTCGTAATTTTTGAGTGAACTAATCCTTTTAGAATTCCACAGTGCCCTCAGTATTTATTGTAATACAGTATGTTGATGGCCCCTCAAGCTGATCTATTCCAGTTGATCTATTCTATGATCAACTCTCAGTTGTATTTTTAAAATAATTTTTTAATTTATCAAAAGCAGCAAGCATTCCATTGACAATGTGGGCTCAGCAGTGAAATCAATAACTTAAATCCATAGAAAAGCCACAGTAAACAAATTCTAAATATTGCTTTAACATTCTAACACCATGTTCACTGAAATCAAACCACTCACTTCCAGTGTGTAAACACGGTGTAACCCGGTTCATTCAGCTTTTAATGAACACTGTGCACGAAAGGCATGAAAACAATCACCAACGAACATCTAACCTACATTTGCCTCAGCGCTCAAACAAGTAAAGTTCTTCAGAATCACACAAAAATGTCCTGAAACAGTTTTTGTTTGCAGATTCGCCACTTTTGATTGCATTGATTCAGTTTTGATCTTCACATTTGAGATTCTTTGATGCGGTTGGCCGATTCGCTTCAGTTACTGTTTCTAAAACTGTCAGCATCAGAATTAATAACCTTTGCGATGTTATTTTGTTCTTTTTTTTCGACATTCTCCTTTAGTAAAACTCCCAGTCACAGTCTTCTTAGTTCTGGGCATTTCATCCAATAAGTTTTTTGCTATGTGAATACATAATATTAACAGATATTTGGGCTCACTAAAACAAGGCGTTGATACCACGACCTAAATGTCTTTATCTGTTCTTTTAGACATCAGCACAAAGTAGTTCTTGTCTGTGGAAAACATTTCTTTCTCAGATGAAAGTCAGTGCAATCAGATACAAAATGAGCGCCTTTGACTCGGCTTATGGGCTGCTGGACGAGCTCCTTCGCGTATCACATGAGAACAGTAATGGCAAAGAGAGGTCATCGTAGATGGCAGACCGTTCCACAGACATACCTGTCATAGAAGCTTCAAAGCATAAACTGTGCCTCGTTTACAAAACACGAACAGAATGAAATGTTTAAAATGTTCGTAAAGTCATTTTTGATTCAATAACAACACCTCAAAAACAAGTTCTTACTGATTTGTTGGGCACATTCTCTATGTATTTTTGCATTACTCCATGTTTCTTTATCGTTCTCGCGTGTAAACATCGTACAGCAGTCTGGTCCACGCAAGAATTATTTTTTCGAACAATTTACAGTACATGCATTTGAATTACATGCATGTGTTATATGATTGTAACATTTTATGTAGCACTAGTTTTATTAACTATTTACATGGAAATTATGTTCATGTATTAAAGGGGTCATATGATGCAATTAAAATTTTTCCTTTCTCTTTGGAGTGTTACAAGCTCTTGGTGCATAAAGAAGATCTGTAAAGTTGCAAAGACTAAAGTCTCAAATCCAAAGAGATATTCTTTATAAAAGTTAAGAGTCAGCCACGCCAAAAATGTTTTACGAACAATTAACAGAAAAAATAAATTGAATCGAAAATTCATTCTGCCTGTGTAAACATGATTTTAAGATTAATTTACACAAATTAGTTCTGTATGAATTTCATGAAATGACAGTTTACAAAAGAATGATTTTACGAACGTTTTATGCAAATTCGTTCTGCTTGCTTTTCATTAATGAAGCCGTCAGCTCTCAAAATGTAAACATACGAAATTAAACCATGAAGTAAAAACATAATGGCAGCAAACATCTTAGTACATTATAACCTTACTTTCATTTTTGTTTCATACAACATGCTGTATTTACATGTAAGCATTATTTGTCTGGTTTATTTATACTTTTAGGTATGTTTTGTTCGTAAACTGTTAGCAGAGGGTGTGTTCCGGCTAGCAGCAGTTGGGCAGAGTCGGCAGGAACTTCCGGAAGAACTTCCTGAACTCTGTGTTGAAGACTGTGTAGATGACGGGGTTGAGGGCACTGTTGACGTAGCCTAACCAGGTCACGATGCTAGTGACGCTGCTGGGGATGTAGCAGTCTTCGCAGAGAGCCCTCATGGTGTGCACTACGAAGAATGGCGTCCAGCAGAACAGGAAGGCACCTGGAGATGACAGGGCAACATTTTTTCAATTGACACGTTATTTACACAAACTGTTCTTCAGTAAAATGCTCTTAAGTGCACCAGACTTTATAGACCACGAGCATTTAAAGTGGCAGACGACAAAACTGCAGCACACTTAATACAACATTGTCGTCTGTTGGTGTGGACACTCATATAGATATCGTTTTCTTCATAGTTATTGTTCTTTGTGTAAACAAATGGCAAACCATTAACAAAAAAAATCATGGTCACACCAAGGACGATAACTATAATGATAACAATAATTCTAATTCTGTGACTACAGCTATAATGATAACGACACAGACAGGGTTGCCAGGTCTGCGAAACAAAACTATCCCAATTGCTATTGAAAACTAGTCCAATCACCTTTTTTCCCACAGTTTTCCATGTTCTGGGGAGATCGCTTTAACCTGCGGACTAAAAAAACAACCTACGGCAACAGTATAGATAAAACCCAATTTTGCAGGAAAACCACAGACTTGGCAACACTGAACACAGAGAAACAATATTATTGGAATCACTTTTAGAACTTTTTTTTTCCTGCTGATGAGCGATAAAAACATTGATAACCAATCACAATCCACCCAACTTTATAGCATTTAAAGCAGCAGACAACTAACTGCAGGGTTCGCGTATAATAAACAGAACGATATTGTCTGTTGTTTTGGAGGAATCTACAGGATCACATTTGTGCTACAGTACAGTGAACATCTAACCCTGTTCTCCAGACAACTAACTGCAGGGTGCGCGTATAATAAACAGAACGATATTGTCTGTTGTTTTGGAGGAATCTACAGGATCACATTTGTGCTACAGTACAGTGAACATCTAACCCTGTTCTCTACGTTTTACAGGTTTTTAAATCGCCTTTTGGAGGCAGACGTAACTCAAATTTCTCAGCTGAGCAAGCATCATCTCAGATCACAGATATAAGTTATTTTATTCATTTCTCCCCCGAAAGCTTCCAGACAGACGCATAGCAGTATGAAGGGTTGCTCTCGTCAGAAACAGATGACCCAGCAATCTATCTGTCCCACTCCTGCTAGGTTCCACAGATCTGTCATCCATCAGAAGTGAGAGGAAGGAGAGAACAGGTAGGATGGCTGAAAATCACCGGAAAGGGCATCTCTGCACTCTTAAAAATTCCAAAAGGTTTTTTTTTTCGAAGCCATTCAGTAGAATAACCATTTTTGTATTTCTCTACACTCTAAAAAATAAAGTTCATTATTGGCATCAATAATTCCACAGAGAACCTTTAACATCCCTGGAAACTTTCCATTCCACAAAAGGTTATTTACTGTGGAAAAGGCTCTTCAGATTATTGAAATGCTCTTTAGACTAAGAAAAAAAATTTTTTTTTAAGAACTGTTCACTGAAAGGTTCTTTGGAGAACCAAATATGGTTCTTCTACAGCATGCAAAAGGCTGCAAAAACCTTTCTTAATGTGAAGAACATTTTAAAACTCTAAAGAACCTTTTTGCACTATAAAGAACCTTTTGTGGAACACTCTTAAAAATAAAGTTTTTTTACTGCCATTTATGGTTCCATGAAGAACCTTCATTGCATTGAACCTTTTCATTGCACAAAAGGCTCTTTATAGTGGAAAAAGGTTGTTCGGATTATTAAAATGTTCTTCACATTAAGAAATAAATGGTTCTTTTAAGAACTGCTGACTGAAAGGTTCTTTAGGGAACCAAAAACTGAAACCGAAAAAACCCTTTTAGAACCTTTTTTTAAGAGTGAATGGATGCTAACGGTTCTTTATGGAACCATAGATGCCAGTAAAGAACCTTAAGAGTGTAGAAGTTTATGGAGTCAGTGGGGTCCAATGTACTTCGACCTTTATGCTTTTTTATTTTGCAAACAATTAAATGTCATGTTTTATATAAAACTTTTTTTTTTTTTTTTTGGGATTGAGCTTTTGAACTTGACTGTCAATGTGGAAAATCCTGACCTTTATCTGTCCCCCCCCCTCTCTCTTATCTGTACTCAGGCTGAAATGATTGGCAAGTACTGTCAGTACTGTACAGAGCACATCGGTGGCACATCTCCCAGGAACCCGTGAAGAGGATAAGTGCATGTCTCAATGTGACGGCTGCCCCCACTCTGCCTGCTGGACTAAAGTCAGGCTTACATCATAATCGGATTGGAGGATTGCTGAGGAATGATTAGCCAATGAGGCTCGGAGGAGTTCCTCAGTTCAGCACATGTAGAAAGAGTGTTTGTAATCACTCCTGGAAGCCCAGTTCTGTTTATTTTTTTTCAACTCACAACACCTCAGATGGAGATAAGAGAGAGCAGAGGTGTAAATATGCATCTGCAGTTTTGTTCTGGTGCATTTTATGGTTGAATCAAAGCTACTAGAAAATAAATTTGTTTCCCTTACCTTAATAAATGTTACTTTTAGGCAAAAACATTTCTTTGCTACTTTAATAATAAATTATCTGTCTTTTTAAAATTTTTTATTAATCAACAAAAATGTTTAAGCATGTCATGTTAATTGTCTCCTTCCTACAAACAGCAAGTTTAAAGCTACAAAAACATAAAATAAGCAACAACAACAAATTTTTTTTTATAAAATATAAATCCTATGCTATAAATTTCAAGTAACTTCACATTTTCAAAATAAAATGTCTTATAGGGTCAGAATGTTGCTGTTAAATGTGTACTTTAATAATAAATGACCCATCAATTAATCATACGAGTAATTAGATTTTTTTATTGAAAAAGCATGTTAATCGTCTCCTGCAAACAATCTGCAAATTGAAGGCTACAAAATACAAATTTTTTCTACTTTTTTTTTTTTAAATATAAAAATTACATTATAAATTAAAAGTAGCTTTTCACATTTTCAAAATAAAATGTCTTTGTATGGGAAGAATGTTGGTTGGGCCCTATTAAGCAGCTATTTTAAAAAGAAGCCCAGTTCTGTTTATTTTTTTTCAACTCACAACACCTCAGATGGAGATAAGAGAGAGCAGAGGTGTAAATATGCATCTGCAGTTTTGTTCTAGTGCATTTTATGGTTGAATCAAAGCTACTAGAAAATAAATTTGTTTCCCTTACCTTAGTTAAATGTTACTTTTAGGCAAAAACATTTCTTTGCTACTTTAATAATAAATTGTCTTTTTTTAAAAAATTTTATTAATCAACAAAAATGTTTAAGCATGTCATGTTAATTGTCTCCAAACAAACAGCAAGTTTAAAGCTACAAAAACATAAAATAAGCAAAAAATATATATATATATATAAATGCTATGCTATAAATTTCAAGTAACTTCACATTTTCAAAATAAAATGTCTTATAGGGTCAGAATGTTGCTGTTAAATGTGTACTTTAATAATAAATGACCCATCAATTAATCATATGAGTAATTTGATTTTTTATTACATTATAAATTAAAAGTAGCTTTTCACATTTTCAAAATAAAATGTCTTTGTGTGGGAAGAATGTTGGTTGGGCCCTATTAAGCGGCTATTTTAAAAATAAACAATCCACCAATTAATTAAATACAATCATCTTAATTGTCTCCTTCAAACAAACAGCAAGTTTAAAGCTACAAAAACATAAAATAAGCAACAACAACAAATTTTTTTTTATAAAATATAAATCCTATGCTATAAATTTCAAGTAACTTCACATTTTCAAAATAAAATGTCTTATAGGGTCAGAATGTTGCTGTTAAATGTGTACTTTAATAATAAATGACCCATCAATTAATCATATGAGTAATTTGATTTTTTATTACATTATAAATTAAAAGTAGCTTTTCACATTTTCAAAATAAAATGTCTTTGTGTGGGAAGAATGTTGGTTGGGCCCTATTAAGCGGCTATTTTAAAAATAAACAATCCACCAATTAATTAAATACAATCATCTTTTTTTTCAATAAATTTTTTCAACAGGTCATACGAGTAATTAGATTTTTTTATTGAAAAAGCATGTTAATCGTCTCCTGCAAACAATCTGCAAATTGAAGGCTACAAAATACAAATTTTTTCTACTTTTTTTTTTTTAAATATAAAAATTACATTATAAATTAAAAGTAGCTTTTCACATTTTCAAAATAAAATGTCTTTGTGTGGGAAGAATGTTGGTTGGGCCCTATTAAGCGGCTATTTTAAAAATAAACAATCCACCAATTAATTAAATACAATCATCGTTTTTTTTCAATAAAGTTTTTTCAATTGGTTTCCTTTAAATGTACTGAAAAACATGTCATGTTAATTTCTCCTTAAAAAAATCTGCAAATTGAAGGCCATTAAAAAAAAAAACAGTCCATAATGAATTAATTTTCAGCTATTTCATTATCATTAATTAATCATTATCAATAATTTCATTAATGTTTAGAGAGTTTATCAATTACTTTTCTCAGACCTAATCACTAGCAGAAAACACAACAACAGTGAGATTGAAATTTTAGTAGTTGGTGGAAAACATGCCCCTGAACTTTGTCAACATAAAAATTTTGGCTAAAGATTTATAAGGGAAAGTGAATATTTTAGGTGCTGTAACTGGCCTCCATTTCTTTCTTCATATTTTTTAACCATTTTTGTCAAATATTAAAGGGATAGTTCACCCAAAAATGAAAATGTGATGTTTATCTGCTTACCCCCAGGGCATCCAAGATGTAGGTGACTTTGTTTCTTCAGTAGAACACAAACGGAGATTTTTAACTCAAACCGTTGCAGTCTGTCAGTCCTATAATGGAGGTGAATGGGAATCACGGCTTTGAGAGTCAAAAAACATACACAAACAAAACCAAATGAAACCCTGCGGCTCGTGAAAAAGCATGTTAATCGTCTCCTGCAAACAATCTGCAAATTGAAGGCTACAAAATACAAATTTTTTCTACTTTTTTTTTTTTAAATATAAAAATTACATTATAAATTAAAAGTAGCTTTTCACATTTTCAAAATAAAATGTCTTTGTATGGGAAGAATGTTGGTTGGGCCCTATTAAGCAGCTATTTTAAAAATAAACAATCCACCAATTAATTAAATACAATCATCTTTTTTTTCAATAAATTTTTTCAACAGGTTTCCTTTAAATGTACTGAAAAACATGTCATGTTAATTTCTCCTTAAAAAAATCTGCAAATTGAAGGCCATTAAAAAAAAAAACAGTCCATAATGAATTAATTTTCAGCTATTTCATTATCATTAATTAATCATTATCAATAATTTCATTAATGTTTAGAGAGTTTATCAATTACTTTTCATGATGGGGCACGGCACGAAAAACGAACAGACGGAGGAATACAGCACGTAGTTGTTGTCCTCCAGCTTGCATTCGCTGTGGTCCCGGTTGGGGACGTTGTTGATTCCGAACATCACGGGGGAGGCCACGGCCAAGGCCAGGATCCATGTGGCAGAAAGCAGGACAATCTGTCGCTGATCCACGTGTTTGCGGTTGTAATTAAGAGGGATGGAGACTGCGATGAACCTGGAGCCAGCCATATGAGGTATTACAAGACAGTCCATGCAAAGCTATTAAATCAACATAGACATTTTCTTGACCCTGATGAACACATTGCTTTTATCACTATATGCCAGCCAAGCCACTGCTCGAATCTCTTATTCGCTGATTGAGTTGACCCAATTATGTGTTGACCTAGTATTCCCCTGGACCCTCAACTGCTAATCAGATAATATCACTCATATCCAACATGTATGTGTTTTATAATGTGATTACAGTTTAAGATAAAGCATAAAGGTGAATCTCACAAAACCAGTGAAATGTCCAGGTCCTATTTCACCCCAAAATCTACGTTGAGAAATATATATGTATATACTGTATATATTTTTTTAGATTTAGACATTACATTTTTTTAGACATTTTTTGTCATATTTTCCCCAAAATTCCTTATCTTGGAAAAAAAAAAGGCCAAAAATGTATGCTTATTGTAAAAAATATCTGAGAACCACTTAGAAAAAAAAAAAAAATAT